GTGAAGTTGCATTCCTTAATCATGAAATTGATGTCTTTATTCGCGAAATTGATTTCCCTATTCAACCTTCATCGCTAAATTGATGTCCCTGTCCGCGAAGGTGACTTCCTTATCAGCTGAATTGATAGCCTAATCCGCCAAAAAGATTTCTGAAAGGTATAGTCGTAATTCGGGCGGACTCCAGCGGCAATTTGCAGCAGAGATACAGACAGTGATTTTCTTATGATAGAACCCAATGCATGTCAAGTAAATAGTAATAGGCTTGTACAAAAGCGGACACACAATAGAATAGAACGTATCGGAATACGTCATAGCTCCTGATGGGTGTCCTTGGAGAGTGGAGGGTTTGAATGAACTTTTGAAAATGTCTTGCTATAGATGAACCCTGAGAGTTTAACTATCCCGTATACGGGATCTAAATCTGACGACCTGATGCGGATGATTTGCTGCGGGTCTGCTTTTTCACCCAACGCGACATGCTGACTTCGTCATGGGACGATGCTTTGTAAGACTCAAATGGCTCGATCGATGCGGATTGACTATGTGGCTCGGGTTGGTTGAAAAGCACCCACCAATCGTGGTAAAAATAATCTATACCACGATCCATGAGATCAGAACGTGGGATTATCGGAGTGACCAAATTCATCGAATGGAAGATAATGAATGACTAAGATAAGTGAACGACGAGGAACTTGGCTCCATAGAAGGGAATCCTAGAGAAGCTGAGCATTCCAGGGTGTCACTCTAAGTGAGACTCAGTTTCTCCACTTTGCCAGAGTTGACCAGACAAGAAGGCCTCAAATGCTTTTTGTATCCCTATAGGTCGATTGTTCGGATAAGCATGGGCACCGCGAGTAACCTGAGTCGATACGAACTGCGGCCGAGTATGTAATCCCGATTCGCGTGTAATACAGACACATTTCATCGAGGGTCACCTGCAGGAATGCTAACTTCGCTCCGTTTGCATACTCGACAGACTTCATGTCGCCGAGCTTTCCAGACACTTCGTACTAAATGATGAGAAGACGATATGTTAAAGCGCCGCAAGGAAAGTGGATGATACTCCTAGAGTCTTAGATGGACTCTCATCCAGCATTTTTCCATAATTCTGAGCTCCGTGCAAGGTGACCATCCAGTTCAGCCCTCCAACAGCATTAGTGATATAGTCGTATTCACCATGGACAACCAGCACCTGGAAAGGTGATGATATTGACATCCACAATTAATTCTGTAGGATGGAGAGTTTGCTATCGCAGTGATAGTATCATAAGTAGTCTATGAAAAGATTAGGCGTCAGATTTCACCTCACTTGAGACATCTTTATTGACCGAGTATATAGACTATATAGTCTATATAAGAGAGTCAATTCGATCCGCTCGTAGGCCTAGGACCAGAGTGATTCCCCTCAGAATCTTCAGCTGTCCACTGCCTCGTCTCTGGAATTTCGTGGTTCAGGGAGATCATTCCCGTATAACCCCCTCCGCTAGCACCTTCAAACCTTTGTCGAGGAGGTGAGTTACGAACGATGTTGTATCATAAGCGGTGTACTTTAGAAAGGCGTCAAGCACCTAACATGAGCTGTCGTTTCCTATACTCATGCCATCCGGATTTACATCTTCGTTATTCTTATGCCATTGTTTATCAACCCCTAGCTGGGTTTGAACTTCGGGCTTATTGAAGAATATCTCGGGCTGAAGTGAGAATATGGAGTTCTTGCTCCTACTGCGCTATTGTCGAATCCCTAACGTTCAATCCATGACACGAGCGACTTCGGGTATACAGGGTTTGTGATGCTACTACGAAAGGCAACTCAAGATGAGCTTACTTACATTGCCAAGAGGGAACATATAGTTTTTCGACTCATGCCCTGCCTTAACGCGGACATCGTATCTGAAACATACGGCGTGGGACCGCCGTTCGAGATTAAAGAAGAAATGTCCCATCAACAAAGGGAAGTAAGTATACCGTACTTTGTGCTAAACGCAGCACTGCTCATCCGAAAGTATAATTGTGAGAAAAAACAACGCCGAGACGAATTTCGAGATGTGATTCAGAAACCTCAACAGTCGTGCACACTCCGCACTACTTACATGCTTATCTTACGTTCGTCCATGGGATCGAGAGTGGCGTCGTCGCAGGTCTCCGTAGCTTTTTCACAAAGATCTGAGCAGAGCATCATACTCAGTCCATAGCGGAAGACGCTGCGTTATATAACCACAATCGATATTAGTGTTCATCGCCCTACCATCATGAGGAGTATGTCCTGTATTGCAGGCGTGGATTTCTTCTCCGCATTTCTTCAAAGCTATGGTCATTTTTTCAATCCTAAAGAAGCAGATTAGACACTAAACCGTATAAACAGCTCCTCGGACTCTTTCGGAGGTAACAGCTTCCTGTCCGTCGCCATTTTCAAGGATCCTTGATAACTGCAAGAACATCGTTCTTGGACTATCGTGAGCGAAATGCACCCACATAGACCATGGTCCCATTACTGAAGAGCCCAGCCATACGCCATCGAGATGAATCCCGAGCTCTTTATTGTCCACGATTGCGGATCCCAGCATGGCAGCGAGGGAACCTGCAAATGAAACTGCAGTAGCTCATTCCTCGATGACATTCATCAGTGATAGTGTTCACGGTGAGGAAACATACCAGCCGAGGACTCGCCGACTATGTGCACCCTCGTGTTGAAGTTCGGATGATCCTTGAAAAACTGCTTCACGAATTCTTTCCTGCGCGGAAAGACATCATAGACGTTTATGGTGACTTCAGATCGATGGTGTCTCCTCAAGTGAGGGACTCCTCAGGACGTTCACAACCTGAGAGCAGCTTACATGTTCTCCACGAATGCTCCCAGGTCTTTTTCAATGGGACCAAGGCTGAAGCCAGTAGGTCCGGGAGCATCGATCCAAATACTGTTAGCCTTCCGACTCCACGAGTACCTAGAACGAGTATCAGATGCAATATAAACGCTCTCCTCGGACAGATTCAGTCCAGGTTTGTTGGATCCTGGTAGGAGAATACAGGGCCCACGGGACAGAGCATAAGCCACACCGCTCGAGCCGAAACCCCCGGGGAAGAACAAAAAGGTAGGAGCAGTTTTCGGATCACTCTCAGCTTCGAGAGCCGCATAATAATACCTGAGCAGAGGCAGCACGGCCGACATGATTCACGGAGTGAACTTCACGTCGAGGGCTTCACTTGTTCTCCTCGCTAACTTGTATGTATCCGAACTCCTGATTGCCTTTGCTGAAGGGGCACAACACCTTCCCACTCATGCTCACCCCCAGTAGCAAGATTCCCACGAATAGAGCAGGGGTCATAAGAGTACAACGCTAACCAAAAAGACCCAGTGATGAACTCTCAAACTTTACCCTGGTACGGTATGATGTGAGATCAATATAAACTCGAATACACTTGAAGGGTGTAATGATGGTTCCTAGGGGAACCTATAACTCGCACACAAACGCAATGGTGTCTACACTGTCTACAGTGACGTGGAGTAACAATCTGGTACACGCGAGCACAGGTGATAAGACCAGTGGCTCCAGTTTAACCGTGTATACCTCAATCCGTAGTCCTTCTGCTTCAACCATATCGATCAACTCGCGTACTTCACGTTAAACGCTATCAATGAACAGGATTCCGCACAACCTTGTGCGGTATTAACCTGCCACAAACCGTACACGGATAGACCAACTATAAGAGAATGAAGAAGTCAAGACAGGCACGATCACCGACAGACACGATCACCGTTGGAGGCGGCTGCCTAGATCGTCGTAGTGGTACCTCCGTACGCGACACCCTACTTGAAAGGGCCTAACACATTTGCGGCCGTGCTTACCCTCAGTACGACCAATATTGGCAGCTTAACTTTATCCATAGTTGGCGTGTCGTGCCCTGCGCGACCCACGCACGTATTATTGACCATTACACTGTAATGGGATCTTGCACAGTCTTTGTACTCGTGTGCTATATTCAACGGTGTAATACAATCCGGCAATCGCAAGTTTTTGCTAATATTGCGAATTTGCCAAATGCTATAACTTCTGTCATTTTTTTGCTTTTTTGTATGTGCTGCTTTCTCAGTCACAAAGTAGCAACCACATTTACACCCTAGCAATTTCTGATACAGGTTTCAGCAACCAAATGTTGAAAGTACTGTAGCAAATTCAAAAGTGTTTTCCAGTGAGGCGCTCTCTTTTGCTCCTTCTTTGCTGCACTACATATTTCCCCGGAATGTTTTACACGCTGGCACTTTTGCCCAAGTGTGCTTCCCCCACACGTTTTCGTCATTCTGGCAAGTTGTGTTCATTTGCTGTTTAATATGTTTTGTCACAAAACTTTTGTGTTGTAATTATGTAGTCCGCCATCTTTCAAGGTTTGCTCTTGTGTGATTTTCCTGCATGGAATAATATTCCAGGAATATACAAATTGGCAGTTGCCGGTATGTGACAACGCTGCGCTTTGCTCTCTTGTAACTTACGCCCTGCGGGAATATATATTAGCGTTTTACTCATTCGCTCAAACTGCGTCGCTGTTAGCGTTATTAGCATACTTGTCATTCTGCATTATTCGTACGAGTAATATACAATCTAGCAAACATAGTTATGGGGTAGAATCTCTCGTTCGATTACGGTATTGCGCCTAATATACACTCTAATGCATGCTCCAACATGGAGCCGCAGGTAATCACGAGTTTGCACTCAGAAAATATCTATGGCGACCAGTTTTGTGAACAAAGGAAATCAAATTCGCGAGAGGACATCAATTTCAGGCCGCAGATGATTAAGATTTACACTGTACAGTTATTGCACAGCTGCATGAAACCAGGAACCGATGTCTTTATACGCGTAATTCTTGTCAAGAATCTGATTCCGCTACTTACCGAATTGGTGGCCTCCGCGAAGCCATCTCACTCGCAACACAGATTCTTGAAAGATACAGCATGCTAAGGTATCTCAACCTCTCAGCCTATCAACGCAACATCCAATCCTTCGGGGAGCTGGGCTGTTTCGTTGAATTCCTTTCAGACTCATCATCGGTTAAGCGCAGCTCCACTCGACATGGAACTTGAGGGTAAGGAGTGCAGATCAGAAGTGCTGATTACGAACTGCTCACGCCTTACTACGACGTTTTAGTACACAGTGTGTACTAAAGCGTAGTAAGGCGTGAGTACTACAGGTGTGTACTACACACCATCCAGTGGTGATTCGAGTCACTCGAGTCGAGTATGTGGATTGCATCTCGAGCGTGCAATGAAGACTTACAAACACTCGAGTGCTCGAGGGAGACGCCCAACCACCATGCGTTATGGTACTTGACGTATCGCAACATGAGTCATGTTACATGAGACACTCAAAACCTCAGAGAGTAACAGCCCAGGGCGACGGAACTTCTCACTATAATAGTGGAAACTCTAACTGAGACTCACTCTAGCGTGCTGCACAACTTTGTGCCACACGGGAGGGTAATGGGTCACACATTATGGGTGTTGGTTCGCTTACACTACGCTCACAGGTTACACCTGTGGCTCCCACTCCGCTCTAGTTTCTTCTCTGTAGCTTCGCATATCTATCAAATACCTACCAAGCGAAAGACTTCATACCTTTAGTGTCACTGAGTTGGTGAGGACCCTCCCCCACAGTTTGCGCATCATAAAAATCTGCATCCCACGGCTCACTATGACAGCACCAAAAATGCCGGAGAGTCTATTTTTTTGATAAGTATCACTACGGAGAACCCTGATCACTGAAGTATCCATCCATAGGCACCAGTAGACTGCCTTCTAGATCAATTATTATCGACTGTGTAGGAGGGTTGAGGAACTATACAGGCGAAAAATCAACACGGAGAAAATTCTCAAGTATGAACTTTAGCATCCCACACGCAACATTCGTCCAGTTCGGATTCCCGCGTGACAATTAGCTCCGTCCTTTCCGCAAGCCACTAGTGCCAAAGCAGGAATTCGCTCCATTGCGGGGTTGCCCATTCGTAAAGCGGCAAATTGCTCCTCTGAAAAGTAGCAATTTGCTCGATAGTGGAAGGAGCAATTTATTGGTACGCTCCTTTTTTGAGCGAAATTGCTCAATTTTGTTACATAGTAGCACTTCACATAGCGGCACTTTTATATATTGCAGCAATTTCCTGAAGAATAAACGAGCAAACGCTATTCATTCGAGCAGTTTCTGTTAAACAATACCGCAAATTTGCGTATTTGTGGAGTGAATTTTGCTACTTTGCGCCTTTGTATATCAGCCATAGCGTTCTTACACACTAGCACAACAGCAAAAGCCACAGGAAATATACATTCCAGCTAATTGGCACTTATTTGCTATCTGCTCCTTTGCTAGTTAATAACTGAGCCATATTCAATCTACTCGGCGCGGCTAGTCGTGGTTGGTTGCTGTTCCAACTGTTAGCGCTCCTCATTGCAACCGCACTACTTTATCAAACCACTCATACTAAGGCCCACCTGTGTATATATGGGGCAATTTCCTGTTATACTCCAGCCGCTGGAGTATTCCATGAATGAGTTCGGGTTTGCACAAAGCCATCCCGGAGACTGAGAAAAACTACTCCGTAGCATTGCTATGCGTAGAAGTTCGTGTCATCAGCAAGAACTTCTATGCTCACCCGAGGACTCGTCATGATCCATGATTCATGGACAATGCTTGCACATAGTACGTGTAAGCAATCTATGGAAGCTGATACATCAGGTATTACCTGATGTATTAGCTTCCCGTTTCATGTCAGTGAGCCCTTGATCGGAGCCCTCATCATCCATGGCTTGTTACCGTATTCTCCTTCATAGTGATTCTATTTTTATCAGCCACTCGCAGCGTAGTACACTTTTTATCTTCACGATACCAGCATGGTTGAGGCGCGAGCCACGTAAGCTAAGCTTACTCCGTTTACCACTAAGGCTAAGTTTACCATTTAGCCTCCCTCGCTACTAGCGAGGGAGGTTCGTCTAGCGAGTCGCTAGAGATACCAATCCGCTACTTTGCTTTCCGTACACACTATCCATCCAACACCTTCCTCCATGAATTCTCTTCACGAGTCCGACGAGCGTCAGGCGATTGTCCACATCGTTGGAATGGACATCGTCGATGATCGTGGGAGGTACGAAAGCTTCTTCGTTCCTCTGGACCAAGTTTTTGGTGATATTGCCAACGGCGAGATTGTCAGGATTACAGACAGAAGGGGTCTAAGTTCCAGGAGCGCAAGTTCC